CCAGGACTGTAAAACCTGCTGCCGATGCCTTAACGGGGAACAAGTCAGTATGTTTATGAAAAATTTAACTATATAGGATTTATTTCAAAGTTCATTTCGACTCAGAGTCTAAGAAAGCCCCTGTACAGCTGCACACACCAGTAAAGACCTTCTCAATAAGCATATCAATTGCTGTCTCCCATTGGTACTGGCTAGATCTGAAACCTAAGGAGATCTGAGACCTAAGGAGGCCCATACATAGGCATAGTATGTGTACGTGTGTACATGTTGTGCAAACATGTCCTCCTCATACCATACTGCCTTTTCTTCTCGCTGCTTTCTGTCGAATCCTTAATGACCTTTTCCTTAGCTGTTCTGCTTGTTCATATCTGTGAAGCACAGAAACAAACCTTTTTAGAAATGCAGAAGTGCCATTACAGATAGTTTGGGAAAGGCAAATAAACTTTATTCATAATAATAAACAGATCAAAAATATTTGTATTGTGTTCCTGTGGCTAATACTGTGACACTGGTAATTCTTACTTGTTCTGCTTCTGATATAGCACAGCCAGAGCATCCAGTTCCCAGGCCACTCTCAGGTGTTCACTGCCATAGGCATTCTCACTTATCTCCAGAGCCTGCTTATACAGCTGCTCAGCATTCCCAAACTTTTTGGACTGTACATAGACACCTGCCAGCTGGTGTAGAGACTGAGCTACACTGGGATGGTCTGGGTCTAGAGCAGTTTCTCGGATTTCCAACGAGCGCTGAAGAGGTGTCACAGCCTAATAAAATAAAGTCATATTTGGTTGACGAAAGATTTTATACCAAGATCTGGAACAGGAACAGATAGATATGCAACTTTAGTACAACTTATCTACCAGTATACTAAAACAGAAAAGAAAACATGTATATAAAGACTGCCATTGTTGAGATCCTTTCTGTCTGCAGTGCCATTGACTTCAATGCATCGCCACGCCCCCTCCCACCCCAGAACGCAGGTGTGTGCGATACAGTGCGTTCCAGCAGCAACCGATCTGGAAAGCACTGTAATTGGTGTGAGCAAGCCCTTAGGGATAGAGAGCAGGGACAGTACTGCTGGACAATGACAGGTACAGCACAGTAATTAATTACCCCTGCAGCATGTAGAATACAAAACTTCCCAGGTGTCTTCCCAGAGAGCCAGCAGACACCTGGGAAGTCTTGTCACAGCACCATACAGCAACAGGGCCAGCACAATGCTTAAACTTCAAGCCCCATTGACATTAACTTCAAGCCACTATCTGACTGCAGATGTCTCCCTACCTCTGTCCCCTCCTCGATCTTCTCGGTGTCCCCGAGGTCCGTCCGTCGACAGCCGCGCCACCTCCAAACCACGCCCACTCCTCCTGCTAACCAATCCCGAGAAGGCAGCAGGAGTCTGATCCCACCCATTCAGCTGTCTCCGACTCCACCTACAATGTCCGGGGTTGCGGAGACTGGACTGAACGTCAGCCTGAACGCTCCAGTAGTTCCCTGGGAGTGAGCACCGATGCCAGGACCTGGGTGGGATTGAAAGCCCTGTTCCTAACCGGGCCCCCCTCTGTCGCGGGCCCCATAGCGCCCGCATGGGTCGCTATGGCGGTAGTTCCGCCACTGGTTCCTGTGGATCTGCAGGGGTACCCCTAGAGGTACATATAACACTGGTTGAGAAACTCTGTGCTAAATTGTGATTCTGTTTGACATACAAGCACATAAAAATCATTAGAGAGATGATAAATCCTGTCCATAGGTGGCTTTAGACACTGTTACATTAAACTTTACACATATGGACCATTGCATGGTATATTGTATTCAGCTAAATTCACCACAATTAAGCAAAGCAGGTGATCTCAGAAATAAAATCTCTCTTTAAAGGAGAACTATGAGGTGAGTGAAAATCACTCAGCCTCATAGTTCTAGCCGACCTGTGACAATGAAACTGTCACAGGTCGGCTCAATAGATCGGGAAGTGTGCGAACACATATCGTTGCTCGCTCACTTCTCGATCCTGTCCCTGCAGAGAGCCGTGACTGTCACTCACGGCTCCCTGCAGGGATCTCCGCCCTCCTCTGTCCGATCCTCCAGTGCTGACTGGCGGAACGGACAGGGGAGGGGGCGGGTTCAGCTTGCGCTGCCTCTAGATAGGCAGAGCCAGCTGTCACTCACACAGCTGGGTGGATCCAGACAGTAATGTCGGGATCCGTCCCGGCTTGGCACTGCAAAATCTCGTAAGGAATTTAAGGCAAAAGGTAGATTTTCAGGGCAGTGTTTAGCCACAATTAACCTTACTAGGTATTCCATATGAGAGAGAAAACCTTTATTTGTCATTCTTCATATAGGTCCAATTTAATATAACATTTCAACCAAACTTACCTGATTGAGAAGACCAAGGTCTTTGAGAAATCGTCCAAGTGTTTCATACAGGTCTGCCAAGCAGGTCATGCTCTCCTCTCCTTCACAGAGCTTCTCATGTTGCTTCAAAGCATCAAAGTATTCTGTAGCCATGGCTATTTTGTCCTTACCCACAAGCTGCCAATAGCTGAGCAGCTCAGCAAAATGCCCCCTGGTAAAGAAAGAACATTGCAAATAAAATTCCTTACTTCTACAATAAACACAGTTGAGCATATTGTCAATACTAATTCAATATGGCTATTAGCACTGTTTGATCTGTAAGTACAATGCACTTTGTTCCTGCCACATTTCAGTCATTCTCGGCTGGTTCTGGCATCTTTTGCACACAGACCTTTTATAGAGATTCTGGGACACAAAGAGGTTCATTAGACATCTGTGCAGCTTCTGTTTCTCGCCTTGTTGCTGGTACAGCCAAGTGAGCTCATCTGCACTCCTCCATGTCACACGGTCACAGCTAAAAAGAAGGGACAAACTGTCATTTGTGAAAACAGGATGGCTATTTTATTTCAAAATCACCAATTTGTTTATCAATCAATTCATAAACAAACAGAGGCAGTAATTTGCATACATCTAACTAAAAATTGTAAAACAGTCATCATGGTGGATATAAATAAACTGATACTGGAGAGGATACTGTTAGAGAGTAGTATTTATTTGTATTATTATTTCCAATATTTATAACGCTAATACATACACAGGACATTGCAAAGCTCTTACAACCAATGAACTATAACAACATATAACAGCAAATGGGGCTTTTTCGGTGCCAAAAACTTCTACAAACTCTCTGAATAAAATGATCTTTTATAAATACATTTTCCTTAAAACAATAATTTGTCTGTCCTCCTTATTAAGTTACAGTCATATTACATGATATGGATTCCATTCATATTAGCCAGTTATTGGTTTTACTTAACCTATATGTCACTTATATAGGTAACTCGCTTGGTTTTGCTTTGATCTCCCCGGAAAGGCCCCAACTTGGGTATCCTACTGTACGCATCTTCTCGTTTCTTCCCCTCTCCTCCCCCCCACCCTGTTTTGTGGGTGCCCCGGACGCTGTTGACTGTCCTTAGACTGTTAGGTAAGTAGGGTCGGGAGATGATGCATTTGGATGGTGATAAAAATATGCATAATTTGTGTTCATTCATATGTTGTATGGCACTAATATGCAATTGTCCATTTGTGGATTCATAGGACTCTTGAAGAAGCACTATCGACAAACGTGTTGAGTCTTCATGTCATATGAACAAGCTATATATAAAGGAGGATTGCATTATTCTTTGGTATTTGCAATATCTAATATGTATGGAATCCTTATCATGTAATATGACTGTAACCTAATTAGGTGGACAGGCATAATATTATAATATTGTTTTAATATGTATTAATAAAAGATCATTTTATTCAGTGAGTTTGTAAAAAAAAATGTAGACCAGTGAAGAAGAGGCTGTGATGACCGGTCTGGCAGCCAGATGGGACCGAGGTTCAGGTGAGTATATTCTCTTTAATCCATCCCCTAGACCAAAAATGTTAAAAATATATATATACAGTATACAGAGAGTATAACATTTCAGAGCATTAAAAAAAGAAAAATAAGCTTGATCCAAAACCATTATGATTTCTCTTTAAAGCGAATTTGTCATGGGCACAGACTTAGGACTAAATGCTGCAACAGAGGAATGAAGCAGTGGATTTTTTTTTTAAAGAGAACCTGTCACTTTGCCCCTTTTGTTTCTTTAAAGAGGAACTTTACCCCCTTTTTACTATATTTTTAAACCCTCTTTTCTTGTTTCCTGGGTCACACTGAAACATACTCACATGCCCAGCAAATCCAGTGTTGTCTTGCTGTAATCTGACAATCCACAGCACACCAGGTCCTGCCCTGCTATCTTCTCAGTCATCGGTACACCCAGTTTCTTACAGCCACCCCTCTTGTGACACAACACGATGCATGCGCAATGGGTTCTACATTATTCCGAAGCCTCCTGGGATGGGTGACGTAAGTATCCCAGGAGGCTGCGGGCACTTGGAGGTACGTCATTCTTGCCTAGGAACGAAAAACGGAAGCACGAGCTGCTTACCAAAATATACTTTAAAGTAAAGTGGGATGTTGTACAATACCTTAATTGTATGGTGAAGTACTGCACAAGTTTCTCTCTGTACTCGGAGACAATATTTTGACCTCCTTGCATATACTCCATTCTCACAGCCTCTTCTGCCTAGAGAGAAAACACAGAGTAATGCATATTTAGAAGTTCCATATTAAAAAGTTCAGTTCAATATATGGGGCTTGTTCATATCAGCAGTATTGCCCAACAGTTACCAACGCACAGACAAGGCAATTTGCCTAATGTCCTATTTCTTACGTTCACACTAACGTGCTGCATTGGTGTGCGCTTTACAAAAAAGAATAGACATGTTGCATTGGGCATGCAGCACAGCACATTGGGACAAGCTATAACAATTGCAAAATGCACACAGAGTTAAATGAACTGTTGGGTTTTCTGTACAAAGGGCTGACTGTCAGGGGGGCTTGAGGTGGGTTAAGGTCTATGTCAACAAATTTCCTTTTAGGTGCATTCCACTTCCATTTGACATGAGGCGGAGAACTTTCTGATTAGCTTCTAACTTGCACTTTTTAATTTTTGACCATAGATACCATGCGACGTAGCAAAAAACCTTTCCTACATGCATTACATTTGTACGGAAAGCTTATGTGGTCTACAATGTAGTAGACTATGCATGACTGTGAGTTGCTGTTTGATTAGGGTAAGTCTATGAGCCATTGTCTGACAGCATAGCGGCTTCAATTGTCATCAGATTACCAGTTTCAACCAGAATGATTTGAGAAACCTAGTGACGAATTCTGGGAAAGGGAAATGTCTGATAATTAAATTGGAACTCTAGCCAAATCTTTTTTTTTTTCCATTTTGGACAGAGCGGGGAAGGGCTATAAACTCTGCCAGGTTTCTATTGCTGTCTAAGCCCCTGTTGGGGAGATTCACCTATGTTTCTCTCTGACAGTTTCCAAAGGGACAGAAAGTGTGGAGAAATACCAAATGTTATACCAGAATGTTAATCGGTCACCAAAACAGATTACGGGCTGTACACACAACAAGAAACTACAGAGTAGTTCCAGCCCTCTTTTGCATATTCCAACTCCTCCTGTTTTATTCACCATAGCATAAAACACAAAATCAAACAGGAAGAGTGGGAACCCCTCATAATCAAATATCTCTCCAACAGAGTTCCTAAGAGGCATAAGAGAAATATATTAAACAAATATAATAACAAGAACTATGCAAGTTCTTTACCTGCAAATGCTGAAACTGGAGCAGACCACAGCTGTATCGTAACACAACCATTTTATTTAGGTGGTACACCAGAAAACTTAATACTGGCCATGTCAGTTCTGAGCACAGCTCTATCAGTTCACATTCGCTCACACCATTGTGGCTGACACTGATAAGGCAAAGAATCTGTAGGGGAAAAAAAAAATGTATTATTTTACTATTACAGGTATTTATAGCGCCGACAATTTACGCAGCGCTTTCACAATTGCACATTCACAGTCCCTACCCTCAAGGAGCTTACAATCTAAGTTCCCAATCTCACATGAATACATACAGGGCCAATATAGACAGGAGTCAATTCACCTTCCAGCATGTCTTTGGAGTATAGGAGCAAACCGGAGTACCCAGGGGAAACCCACACAACCACAGGGAGAACAAGCAAACTCCTTACAGATAGTGACTTGACCGGGACACATACTTCTAGATAATTGCAGGCTTTGTATTCTTTGCATACCTTGTTTCTCTTTCCTTTCCCAGCCTTCTGGCAGTGGCCATGCTAACTAAGGGCAAATTACTAGCTCTCCATTTATTTCCTGGAACTCTGGCACATATGACTAGGAGGAAAATGCGTTTCCCTGAGAACTCATGAGATTACAGATGAGATTTCCCAGCAATACTCTGCTGATGTAACCTTCCCAAGATGCAAAGCTTTGGCACATTACATCATTTGTGCCAGAACTGGACCAGGAAGTGGATGAACTCTATTTGTAAGTAAATGAAAAACAAGTTTGTTTAACTAATGATTGTAAGATGCATTCTGATGAGATTTTTAGCAAAAGGGGGTAAAGGTTCACTTTAATCATGGCTGTTTGAGGGCAGAAACAGTTGTCCAGAGCACTGAGTGTGGAATACAAGGCATTGGAGAGGGGTGAGCTGTGCGTTTTGTATATGGAGCGGATTTATAAATCTTCCAACCAGAGGGCAGCTGGATGAATGCCGCTACCACCACAAGATGGCCCTAAAAGGAGCATAGTAGCAGCTGAGGAGCTGCTAAACCAAACACCCCCTCTTTTCCCGTACCTTACTATTCACCTTTCCGGGTTCAATACTGGCAGAATTTAAGACTCCGCCCACCAAACATCTATCCATAACTAAAGCAAGTGCAAGCTCTGTGTGTGTTTCAGTTATAAACATAAGAACAAGCAAATCTCCGATGTGTCTCAAATAGAAGTCACAATTATCTCACCCTTGCCATTGCTGACAGGGCAGTAATGGTAGTTGTTGCACCACTGGCTTTAAATGTTATTTAAAGGGGGAACAATGTACTAGCTTATTCACAGTGACATGGTAGTGCAACAGCAGTCATTAGGTCAAATATGCTGCAAACAAAAGTCAAATTGGGTAAATAACTACTATAGCCAGTGTAAGTCAAGACCTCTATTATTATAAACTATAGGTGTCAAAGGCAAATCTAAATGAGCATGGTCAAGTTCTACCCCATGATAGCCATAAATAATATCAAAAGAAAATAATTGGTGTAACTGGAATGTTTTATGATCTTACCTCCCTCATGTAGTCCTTCTCTTTTGAACTTGGCATGAACTCCTGCACAGATTGAAGTGCAAGTCTGTATAGTGACACTGTATCCTGGCACTGCAAACATTGCTGCAAAGTGTCTGTAATGTTTCCCATATCCCCAGCCCTGAATGAAAATCAAATCTACATTTCAAGGACATTTGTATACCAATAGATTATTTCCAAAAAATAAGGACAATGTTATATCATATTAAAGGTCTCAACATTATTAAAGGAAATAAATAGAAAAACGTGAGCTAATTCTTACTTGGAGCCTTTACTTATAATGTATGTTCTGGATAAAGGCTTTACTGTATCTACTCTTGCTTCATTTCCCAAGCCTGCCCCACCTCCTTCTAGCTGTTAATAAGCTTTTGCCCGCCTATCTGTACTTTTTTGGATCCCTCTACTCAAAAATCCATCGGACTGGTGCTTACATACTCCTTCATACAGGCTTAAAGAAGAACTCCAGGCAAAGATTTTTTTAACCCCTGCAGTGGGGCTACCCCCACACTGCAAGAGTTAAAGGAGAACTATGGGGTTAAAGCTTTTCCCCATAGTTCTCCTAAGGGTAACGGAAGGACACAAACTAGCCTCCTTCGGTCACCCAAAGCTCAGTATACTGCGAGCTGCAGCTCGCGGTATACGGAGACGCCGCAGCCGGGACGGATCCCAACAATTCTGTCTGGATCGACCCAGCTGCGTGAGTTACAGCTGGCTCTGCCTATCTAGAAGCAGAGCCAGCTGTACCCGCCCCCTCCCCCGTCCGTTCCGCCAGTCAGCGCTGGAGTATCGGACAGGGGAGGAGGGGAATCCATGCAGGGAGCCGTGAGTGACAGTCACGGCTCTCTGCACGGATAGATCGAGAAGTGAGCGAGCGACGATATGTGTTCGCTCACTTCCCGATCTATTGAGACGACTTGTGACAGTCTCATTGTCACAGGTCGGCTAGAACTATGAGGTGAGTGAAAAGCACTCACCTCATAGTTCTCCTTTAACTGCTTATTTTGGTCTAAGGAGGGAAATAACATTTATACTCACCTGAACCTCTGAGACGGCCAGCTGTGACAGTGCTTCCTCTTGCCTGTCTCCTATGCTCCAGGCATGTCTCTCTGCATCTTCACATGCTATACACATTGTATTGGACGTAATTATTTGAATATCCTTAGCCTGCTGCAGCAGAGAGTGAGCAAGCTTGGAAGGACCGGTCTAACAACAAGCCGGCTCAGAGAATCGGGCGAGTATAACCTTTTTATTTTCCTTCATAGACCAATACGAGCAGCTAACTCCTGGGCTACCCCCACTGCAAGGTTAATAAAAATCTTGCCAGATTTCTTCTTCAAGCATAGAACAAGGGTGATTTGCAAAAGGCAAACAACCACAAAAGCATTACTTAAAGTAGGATTAAAAAAAGGCATCATTGTTTTGTGCACTTGTTATAATGTTCTGCATCAGAAAAAGTATCAGTGAGTGATAATATTTACAGCATGCTTAACACTAAAGGTGCCCATACACTGCACGATTCTCGTACGAGAATCGCGGGAAATCCCACGATCGTACGAGAATCGTGCAGTGTATGGAAGGCGTGCGACCGTTCCCACTGTACGGTCGCACGACTTTTGTATTTCGATCATGTTGGAAAACCAGCCGAGAATCGTACGATTTTCGGCTGGTTTTTAACATGATCGAGAGACAACTGCCGAACGGGCCGGTGTGCGCACGCGCCGATCGTACGTTTTTTTAAAGTACTTTACAACCCTCGCAAGACAAAAGTCATATTGTATATGTGTTCAATAGTCAAAATACAGTAAAAACAGCCTCACTCCGGGGAAGGCAATAGGCATTTAACCAAGACATGCTCACAGCAGGATCTCACATTCCCTTTATTGTACAGGTGTTGAGTTTAGATACTACGACATAGCTGCACATCAACAATTAGCTGTAGTAACACTTTGGATTTCAACCGGATTCAAATTAATATTTCAGTCGGATTCAAAATAAATTCTCCAACTAAAAGCTTGTGTACAAGGGCGTTTGTTGCATCAGAACTGCTTTTCCCTATACGAGGTTAATAGAAATGCAAAAGCAGCTGGAAGAAGCCTAAAAGGAAGGTCAGAAGTAGGTAGGAAGGAGTTTTTTTTATATACACAGGTTTTCTCTATAAAGGAATAGATTGTGGCAGATAAGAGGATGTGATTGTGAATGGAGGCTATAAGTTTTTATTAAAAAGGTGGGTGTATTTAAAGATTTGGAGGGATGGTGAATGCTTGATGACAGGCATCGGCTTGATGACCTGGAGGTTTGAGTAAGTGACCATTAAGCTAGAAAAAAAGCTCATCAGGGGAACAAAGATTCTTGATTCCTGTATACTTGGAGATAAAGGAAGGACCAGACTGTTGAGGGCTTTACATCTTAGAAAAGGGTTTACTAATTGTACTCTGCAGACAGTAGAGAACCAGTGCAGGCACTAACAGACAGGAGCAGAAATCAAAAAGTGGAAACAGGTTGCTAAGCCATGCTGAAGCATTTAAAATGTACTGAAATCTCTGAGTCCAATCTTTAGCAGAAGTAAGTGACAGAATGAAGTATTGCATTAGTCAAGGTTGCATATAATTACAACAGGCAACAGTATTTTAGATGTATCATGCATGAGAAAAAGGGCCGATTCAAGCAATATTCCTTAGCTGAAGATGAAAGGCAGTTATTAAAGCATGGAGAGAATGAGACTTCAGTGTCAAAATGATTCCCCAAGCAGCAAGCTTGAGGAGTTGAGAAGAGTATGAATGATAACCACTTTAGTTTTATCCACTTTACATTTTAAGCTGCAGGAGGACATAAAATCAAAACAGCAGTAACGCACAGCGTCCCTTGTTTCAGGAGAAGAGCAGGGAGACAGATTTCACTATCATTTGCATCGATAATACTGAAATGCAAAGGATTATATACTGTAGTGCAATCTATTTTCCTTTTCACCTCATGATAAAATCCTAACTGTGCTTATATGCAAGTTATTCAAATTTTGCAATGCATTTGATGTTTCAGTTCTTTGCATATGCTGATTGCCTAAGGGCCCGTTCAGACCAGATGCAGTGCGTTCCGACCCTATTCTAGCCAGAACGTACTGCCTCGCATTGTGGCCGGCTCACTTATTTTGTGGGGCAGGAAGGGGCGTGACGGGCCATTGAAGTGAATGGTACCTTAGCCATGTCTTCCGGCCGCAATGCGATTGGCTGCACGGGATCACAAGGCAAATTATGCCTGCAGTCCGGTGCGATCAAAATAGCGCTTGCAGCATTTTGATCGCACCGGACCGGAGGCATAATTTGCCTTGTGATCCCGTGCGGCCGATCGCATTGCGGCCGGAGGGCGTGGCTACGGTGCCATTCACTTCAATGGCCCGCCACACCCCCTCCTGCCCCACAAAAAAGTGAGCCGGCCACAATGCGAGGCAGTGCGTTCTGGTTAGAATCTGGCCGGAACGCACTGCATCTGGTGTGAACGGGCCCTAAGGAGACCAATTAAGTAGAATAAGATCAGTGGAGTAGCCAAAGTCCTCTTTAACATACCAAATGAGAAATCTAGCCAGCAAAGTAACATATAAGGGATTGCAGGGGGTGGCAGACCGACAGTGTCTTTCCAGTTTTCTTTCCTGTAATAAAACAAGGCAAAACACAATGAGGGGAATTTATCAAAACTGGAGATAAAATCTGAAGCAGCTGCCCATGTGAACCAATCCACTTTTTCTAAGCTTAACTGAACAAACTGAAGAGAGTAGCTGATTGGTTACTGTGCACAGCTGCTCCAGATTATGTTTGCTCCAGTCTTGATAAATTCCCCACCCATGTATCTCGTAAAATGTCAAAGGAATCAATTTAAAGTGATATTAAAGGTTTTTAAGCTACTTCAAATGCCGATTAGTTCACACACAGTGGATGCTGCTCTTTGATCTATACAAGTTTCAGTCTCCTGCAGAATCAGCTGGTCCCCTGAGCACTGGCCCTGATACTTAATTGAGGGTGGCTCCTTTCCCTTGCTTTTCGTGCCGGAGCTCTCTCAGACACGTCCGCTCACATGAGTCTCCAGGCCACGCCCCCCTCCCCTTATGTATTTTAGTAGACTGTGTGTCTCTATAAACACACAGGCACAGCAAAGCAAGACATTCTCCTGCTCCATGCTCTTCCCTCCTCGCTTCTCCCTTCTCCAAGCTAGTAGATGGAGGGCTGCTGGAGACTGCACTGTCCCTTGTGATCTTGTACTGGACAGGAAGTTCTCTTTAAACTGTGTGTATGTAATGTTTGTTCAATATTTAAATGTGTACATCGTACAGCCAAAAGGTGCCCTGTTGGTTGCTAGGACACTAGAACCACCAGTATCCTAGCAATGAAGAACACTAGGGAACTCAGCCGCCTGCATCCTAGCAACAGAGGATGCTAGGCGGCTCCAATAGAGAGCATTTGAATGTAAATGTTAGCGCAAACCTGTACAAGCATACAGTGTAAACATTGGTCTATATGTAGGACCTCAGATGCAGATTTTTCTATTTTAATTCTATGGCTCTGAACACAACACATGTTTACTGATCTTTACACACTGTGTGCACATCTTTACGCACCTGCATTCAGAACAAAAAAAAAACCTGTACTTATAATGCAGTGTTGTTTATGGCCATAAGCATTTCCTTACAGTAAAACATAGCAAAGATGTTAAACGGGCGTTAAAGCAGTAACCATAGAACACAAACTCGTAACAAAACAAAAAAGTAAAACAATGAACCTGTTCTTTGGTCAGTACAATACCAGCTCCACTGCATTCGAGATTTAAAAGTGCCTTCACATCTTTAGAATTTAATGGATCGAGATGAAGAGTTGGCCACAACCTGTAAATATAGATCAAAGGAAGAAGGCAAGAACTGAAGTTAGGTGTTCTGCACAATCTCCATCAAAAGTGTATGCACTGTCCAGAATAACCAGTCAGATTCATGTTGGTAGGAATTAATATGGGTATCAAGACCAAAAACAGAAACCGATTGATGCACTTCTTGGGCACAGGTGGGATCATGAGGGCATCTCAGGACCACCCACTAGGGTATAAGGAATGTCTTCATGGTTATTTGGTCACTCCTTAGACCCTTCAGCGAGGAGTAAGGCTCTCTGTTATCCCCTGTGAAAGTAGTGGCCCCCCAGAAAACAAATGTACAAACTGTGTGGGCCCACGGATATAATGAAAACCTATACTAAGCTTCACACATTAAAGCAAACCTGTGGCTGTTCCAGGCATATTCAACCACTGCCTAAATCATATTACAGACATTCTCCATTCATTTCTGGCTAATGTACCCAGTTTACATTAAAAAACAAGCACTGCTGTAAAAGTTTACACCAGTTCTCAGGTATCTTTCTGAAAGCACTGTTGGCTGACCCCTACACTCCTCCTCACCTCACTATTGACCAAATGACACCATCAACCAATAAATAGAAGTGGGAAGTGGAAGGCAGGAAGTAGCTGACTATTGAGTGATCAGGAAGGGACCAGGTTGTTTTTTCTCTACTACCCAGAGTAAGCTCCAATGCTGGAGTATAAAAACATTACCTTTGACATGTCATTCACAAAAGTGGTGATGCTATAGTAATGCTGAGGAGGAGAGGTGGAGTGTTTGACCTAGACTAAATACTGAACACATTAGGCACTTTTGAACTGTGTAGTCATACACTGTGCAACTGCTATGACAGGACAATGAAGGTAAGACTATGAGGACAGAGGTTCTTGGTGCAATATCTACCTGGCTGAATATCTATTTCTGTGACTCTAACTGTAGCAAATTTTTTGGTTGTTGTTTTAATTCCAGAGTCTCTTCGGAGCTGTGTGCAAGTCAGCTCCCACTACAGCTAACTACTTGCACATGGCTCCCGCTGTCAGTATTGGCATAGGGTTCTGTAGGTAACAGCCACATAGTGGCAGAGGTAAGCAGAAGCTAGTAGGAACTGACGCTCTCGCAATTGTCAGATTCTTTGCAAGGCTTGTCATTAAAAAAAGAAATTACACATGAATTAATTAATTTTGCTTAAATAAAAATAGTGTTGAAATTAAAAAGTCAGAACTTGTGACAGGGTCTCAAATATTCGTAGCATTCGTCATCTATTTTCCGAATATCATCCCCTAGTTTTTAGCAGCGTGTGCAATTTTAAGTCTAGAAGTAGTTATTAAATGTAACAGATAAAATTGTGTAGATTTAAGTATTTTAAAGGTTATAATAATGTTTGTGTGACCTATTGAAAAATGTAATATGATTTAGACCAGTGGTTCCCAACCTGTGTAACCTCAGGACCCACATTTGCCCTTGATCATTAAGTCATGACCCGAGTCGCACTGCATTGGAACGCACAGCATTGCGGTACCACAGGTTCCAGGTGTGCGAGCGATCGAACTGTGGGTGGGAGGTGCATTTGGGATGCCATTCAAAAGATCCACCCAGTCTATATACCTTACGAGAACTGGAGCTGATCCTCAAGTCAGGTGTGGGCTGCTGTGCTGTGACGGAGCTCCATCCATATGTCCTTTGCTTGTAGAGCTCCCTTTGCGTGCCCTGTAGAGGTGCCGGGAGGCAGAATGTGACATCACTCCGGTCCGGGCACCTCTACAGTGCATACAAGGGAGTTGTACATATGGATGGAGCTCCATCACGGCCATAGCCCCAGCCTATCGCACCTCAAGCAGACACTCGGCACCGGGCAGCATATTTTGAACTTACAGTGCTGCAAAAGGGGGAGGCTGATGAGCCTCCCACCTAGAAAAGTGGAAGGCATACGGCAACCCACTGAAAACGGGGTCGCGACCCACTTTTGGGTCACGACCCACCAGTTGAGAACCAAGGATTTAGACCAACACTTCTAGAAGTATTGTAGATATACAACATCTTTTACTTTTGCACTTGGAGGATGGAGGGTCTTTTATGTATTTTCAGTTCTGTAATATATGTTTTACTGGTGCCCGGAAAAAGATAAATGCTGTGGACAGAATCGAATATATTTTTTAATGCATTACATAAGGGTTGGTGTATAGAAACCTATAGCTAGGTGGAATATGATATTCCTTAGAAGTTATTAGTAACTTACTCACCTCCATGCCTGAGGACAAGTCTCCACATTTACTGAGACAATAACTCGGACATTCACTGGTAAAGGATCAATGAGCCATTGCATATGCTTTTCTGGATGCTGTGAATAAAGGAAATGATTGGTCAGTTTGTTTGACGTGTATTTTTCTAATACTATTATATCTTACTTCAATAAACCATTTTAGTCTAGTGGAAGAATGTTATTTTCTTTGGGAGGCACTGCCAACAAATGAAACTTAAAGTGACACTAAACACTAGTTAAAAAATGTCTTAGTCTAGCATGACCTGTCTTAAAATGTGCACAGAAATGTCACATACCACTGTAAGCCACTATATAATGAGGGCAATTTATCAAAACTGGAGCAGACAAAATCTGAAGCAGTTGCCCATGGCAACTAATCAACTTCTGTCTTTCGATTTCAAAGCCTAGCTGAACAAGAGAAAAGCTGATTGGTTGCCATGGGCAACTGCTCCAGGTTTGATACATTCCCCCCGTGTCTCCGCGCATCCCCGATACATGCTCCTTTCCCTTCACTCCCTGCTCTTTACATGTACACTTAGGTCATGTGCAATGTATAGCTTAAACTACAAATCCCAGACGTCTCTTCACAAATCGATTTAGCTGTGCATGCATCAGGCATTTAGCAGTTCTTATCGGGAGCCCACATAGGAGGGTGGCTACATTCCCATATACAGCGAGTCCATGTAGAGCTAAAGTAGCCACTCTCTGAAAGGAAATTGAAGTCATGCCAATTGATTTTTTTTTTTGAAAGGTTGTGCTGTAAGAAGCTGCGTTTAGAAGGGACACAGACAGACAATATTAAGGGTATGAAACCTATTTTATTTTTTAAATTCTTTACTGTCACTTTACCTGTAAAGGTAATACCTGGGTCCTTGTGACAGAACTGGCACCATTTTCAGTTTTAACATGGGGTGTAGTTCTTGTAAATTATAAAACAGTTTCTACCTCTACTTGGTCAATGGAGTCAATGATGATGATAATATTTCCTTGGTAGCGAATGGAAAGTTTTTCAAGCCAGTGAGGAAATTCTTCCAAGAACTTTCCAGGGTCCATTGAGAATGATGAGATTGACCAGGAATGTTGCATTAGCTGTACTCAAAGGAGAGAAATACATGTGGGGTCACTTGTGGTGTACTGAAAAAAATAGAAAGAAATCCTTTTCTCCTAGATTTATTGAAGGACACTGCACATAACTTCTTTACGTGTTGGTATACTGAAAACTATAGGAGGTTCAAATACTATGTAAATTAGGGATGCACCGATACCAGTTTTTCGGTATCGAGTGCGAGAACCGATATTTTTTTTTTTCGCTACTCGTTGATACTGAATACCGATAAAGTCCCATTAAGCAAGCTGGGCGGCATGTAATGACTCACCGCTCGGCTTCCTGGTTAGTCAGGAAGCCGTTTCCATGCTCCCTCACTACGAGGTGACGTGGAAGTCTGGAGCCGGCTTTCTGGCCAATCAGGAAGCCAAGGGGCGGGTAATGAAGCCAGCGGGCGGGTAATGACTCGCACCTGGTTTCCCGATTGGCCAGCTTCCCGACCAATCAGGAATTTGGGTGGCGAGTCATTACATGCCACCTGGCTTTTTGATTGGCCAGGAAGCCGGCTCCATGCTCCCTCGTCACCAGGTGACGAGGAAGCATGGAGCCGGCTTTCTGGCCAATCA